CCGCAGAGCCGCCGCACCACCCCGACGCCCACCCCACCGGCCCCGCCCGCGCTCGCGGCGATGCCGCCGGGGGGCTAAGCGCGCATGGCGACGGCGCGCGCAACGACGACGAAGGCGCGGAGGCGGGAGCCACGCGCGCCGCCGGCCAACACGAGTCGCATGACGACGGCGGCGAGGGGCTGCGCGCAGACGACGTCGACGACGACGAACATGTCCTGCCGTCGCGCCGCCCGTGCTTTATCTACGACAAGCCGCCGCGCACGGGGTCGACGACGATCGGCGTGGCGCTGAAGAGGTGTCTGCTGAAGCGGGGGTTCAAGCAACCACGCCCGTTCGAGGGTCGGGAGCAGCGCTCGGAGACCGTGGGGAAGATGCTCGGGTTGGCGGCGCGGCGGGTGGGGACGATGTCGCACCACGTGGGGCTGGACGGCGCAGACGTGGCCCGGCTGCGGCGGGAATGCGGCCGCATCGCGTACGTCACCAGCTGCAAGCCGATGAGAGCACGCTTGTGGTCGGCCGCCAAGTTTCACTTCTCGGACGGCATCGGCAACTCCAGCTTGACCGAGGCGGACAAGGAGCGCGCCGTCCAGCTTGTGGAGCATGACGCGCGGACTGAGCGCTTCCTGGAGGCTTACCCGTACCTGAATGAGGAGGAGAAGGAAAACGAAACGCCGCTTGGGCAGAGATTTCACGCCGACTATGTCGTGCGCGCCGACAACATGGATGAGGACTTGGCGAGGCTCTTGACGGTGCTCGGATGTGAGGGGGAGTTTCAAAGCCGGAATGTACATGAATTAGAGCTGGACTTGGGCTTTTTAGATAAGATCCGGCTGGAGCAGGGGGACGCAACGTACCGTAGGTTGAGAAAACAGGCAGACACAGAGAATGAAGAAGGTTTGAAGCGGATTGCAGAGTTTTACAAGTATGCCATGCAAGAAAGGTTTGAGGACGAGAAGCGGTAAGGCAATACGCTACTCCGTTGTGACGAGGATTGCATACAGAAGGGCAATGAGAATGTTGATATTCAGTACCACATAGTTCTTTATTTTAAAACAAAAGTTTGTTACTGCCCTGCTCCCCATAATGAACTTCTTCATTCCCTTTGTCTCTTTGAACGAAGTTGGGCAGTGCCATTTTGTAGTGCCCTTTTTTCCTGTAAAGGAAGTGAATCACCACGTGCACACGCTATGATGTCATGTTGTCAACAACTGGCATACGTACACATTTCCTTGATCATCATCAGCAGCATTAAGGATCCAGTCGACCAAAATCCATCTGGATTTTGATTCGTCGCTCGGATACGGAGCTGGCCTGCGATTCGTCAATTGCCTGTCGCGGGCGATGAGCACTTCCGGCAAACAGTATGGGCAGTAAAGTTACATACGTTGGTACTGAGTTGGTTTATGGCTTTCGGTCGCTTAATAGAAATGATGTATTATCACCAGGCGCTTCCATTGTCGTGTCCACTGTCCAAATTGGGGATGTATTGGTGGAGATACAGTGGAAAATGACCCGATTCATGAGGGTTGCGAGCTGGGTAATTACGAAAGAACGCGACGGGAACTTTTTAAACGCATCGGGGGTTCTCTCGGTAAGGGTTTTATCTGCCCATTTGCGAAAAGTTTGTGAGTCGCCTCCAAACGGGTGTAGTCGCCTCGCTCTTTATGTGCGCACCTCTTCTGACATAGTGGGAACGAGGCCTGAGCCCAAGCTTTACAGTAGGTGTCGCCACCGCATACACGTACTGTAAAGCTTGCATCTGAACCCGTGAAGTGTAAACGTGGGGCGTATTGATTGGGTTTCGAATAGAAAAAAAGCTCTAATATATAGCTCCCGCCAACAATTAGCTACCAAGTTCGGCCAATCAGGACTCAAGTGGTTTTCGGTCGACTGGGTCCTTAATTGTTGGGAGAATTGCCAAAGCGGTGACGGAATGGATAATGCTGCAATTATGACAGTCCATATATAATTACAATGCTATTACTGTATGTCACACGGGTATGTCACACGGTTTGGCAATTGTCTCTTAATCGTTTACCCAACTTTATGTCATGATTCCCATGTACAGCTCGCACACCTGTACCACGCACACACGTAGCACAGATGTAGCGCCCCAGGCAGCGCCGCCGCCACCGGCGCCGCTCCCCTTCTTAGTCGCACACGGTCCGTCTACCTCAGTAAACTCGGGTATCGTTCCTTGCACCACACTTTAACCACAACTTAACCACAACTTCCGCATCGTCGTTGTCGCCACCGCCCTCCTCAGGATACTCACAATCGCCGCTCGCCGACTTAAGCCTCTCGTACCACGTGCGCAGTACGCCGAGCTGCGTACCCTGTTTTATCTTGCGGATGCCGTACTGCTCGTGCGCCACCACATGGTGGTGTATCGTGAACCCGAGCCCGACGTCGCACCGTACGGCGCTCTTTCCCGCGCCATCCGCGGCGGCCACACACCCGGGCGACCAAAATGCATTTCGGTTTCGCAGGCGTGCCATGTGTCCACGTACGACTCTTGTTTACTGGGTGATGAAAGGGAAACAGGGCGGTAGTTCGTACATACATGGACTGCCACGTCCATCAAACAAGCTTCTCAGGCATTCATTGCAAAACAAAAAAACCTCTTCACTAATACTAATGTCTCAGGCGGCAAGCGTTTATCGCTTTCCGCTTTCCGCAATTTACAACACTAGCTTCATGATAACAACCAACTGACCCGCCCGTCCGACTGCGACCCCGTGATCGTGGTCTATATGCAAGCGTGCTTGACTCTCCACCTGGGCCAAGACAGCCTCAGACCCATCCTCTCGCCTTTGCACAATTCTTCCCTCCCTTGAAAATATTGGTGTTCGTCCTGCGCGAGAAGCAGTACCCAAGTCTCTTGTCTTCAGGAACCGACTCGTGATTTCCTCCCAATCCTCTTCCCTCCCGGTGTGCAGTGTGATCCCTCTCTCCACGTCCCACACCCGCACGCTCTTGTCCCGCGATCCAGATACCACACGTCTTCCGTCCCCACTAATCGCAACGCTCTCCACCCAATGCGTGTGTCCGACTAACGTGTCTCCAACTTGTGCTCCCGTCTCCACGTCCCACACCCGCACGCTCTTGTCCTCCGATCCAGATACCACACGTCTTCCGTCCCCACTTATCGCAACGTTAACCACAAAATTCGTGTGTCCAACTAACGCGTCCCCGACATGTGCCCCCGTCTCCACGTCCCACACCCGCACGCACTCGCCAGCTGATCCAGATACCACACGTCTTCTGTCCCCACTAATCGCAACGCTGTGCACCGGACCCGTGTGTCCAACTAACGCGTCCCCGACTTGTGCTCCCGTCTCCACGTCCCATACCCGCACGCTCTTGTCCTCCGATCCAGATACCACACGTCTTCCGTCCCCGCTCATCGCAACGCTCCACACCAAATCTGTGTGTCCAACTAACGCGTCCCCGATTTGTGCTCCCGTCTCCACGTCCCACACCCGCACGCTCTCGTCAGCTGATCCAGATACCACACGTCTTCCGTCCCTATTCATCGCAACGCCAAACACTCCGTCCGTGTGTCCAACTAACGCGTCCCCGACATGTGCCCCCGTCTCTACGTCCCACATACGCACGATCCAGTCAAGCGATCCAGATACCACACGTCTTCCGTCCCCACTCATCGCAACGCTGGACACCGGACCCATTTGTCCAACTAACGCGTCCCCGACTTGTGCTCCCGTCTCCAGGTCCCATACCCGCACGCTCTTGTCCAACGATCCGGATACCACACGTCTTCCGTTCCCACTCATCGCAACGCAAGCCACTCGCGATCTGTGACCGCGGAAACTTCTCAATACTTTCTTTTCCGACATACTCCACAGCCTTAACGTCCCGTCGTCATATCCCATAACAACATACCCCTTCCTCTCACAGAAAGTTGAGCAGGTAGCTCTCGTCACGCTCGGCTTTTCTTCACTCACTTCGGATTTTACACTTCCAATGCACATCCGAAAACAGGCCCTCAAAGGCCCACCCCTTTTGCGCCTGCTTGCTTCAAGGACCCCTGCGCCTTGGCTCTCCGTTTCGGATTCGCCTTCTAATCGAACCATCTTCGTCTCCTCAGCAGATTGCGTGAAAACTGTTACTTTGGCCCCGGACTCCTCCACCTGACATCCATACACTTCACCCCTGGAATCTATGCCCACTTGAATTTCTTGCGTACCGAAATATGGCAGGACAATGTGCTCCACCAACGTTCCATCGGCTCGCGCTACACACTCACTCACAGGCCGCACCCACGGCCGTGGTGCGTATCTCTCGATTTCCTCAAGGATCTTTCGCACACAACCTGAATCCCGTGCCTTGTGCTTCACTCGCCCATATAGTTGAAAGTAAATCCCGGCATTATTTTCACCACAAAATGGTACACTCAGTCGCGCAGCCCGCATCATCAAAACCATTGTATCCACTGCATCCTCATCGACCCGTCCCCTAGTCACACCCCCGCTTCCTCTTTTCCGCTTCAAGTCTCTACTCAATCCCTTCACAGCTTCCTCGTATTGCCAAACCCCGCCTCTCCGTATCACTGTCTTCACCCATCGTGCACTCAAAAAGAGCCTCTTCAGCTCCTCTACACACCCACCCTGTCTCAGAACACGGTATATGTTCTCGAAAACATACTCCTCCCGTGCACTCTTGCCCTCTCCGTCTCGGCCCTCACTCATTGCAAACAACCCTCCTCCTGCCCTGCATACATCCGCCATCTTCTTACACCACTTTTCTACACCCTCCTTCTTATTCGCTTCTTCTACCGCGAAATCGTGCGTCAGATCATGCACCCGCAACCCACCACAGCCCTTCTCATACTGCAACTCTACTAATCCAACCCTTTCCATCTCCTTTGCACACCATTCCGTCCGCTCCTCGTCCATCTCCCACAAATCTCCAACCAAACTCAAAGGTATCCGGTCTTGCTTCTTCATAACGCACAGACTCCGGTGCATCTTTCGAAACGAAAATTCACCAACCGTCTCCCCACTGCTCCCCGCATTGGACTCCAGGATATCTAGTGACGTATGCAATGTCGTATTCAACGACGAATATCCGTCCTTCGGACTCTCCTCGCGAATCGTGTTACGCCTCTTCATCTTCGAAACGTACGCCCCCCATGCTCCTGACACTTCTCCTTCCCATCTTTCCCTCATGTACCTCACACTCGTTCCCGCCACGTTCAGGGTAAGCGGCAATCCGCAACAGATTTCCAGTATTTCACCCACGGCCTCTTTGCAACTCGCATCATCCACTTCCTCTCGATTCGCCTCACTCGCGTGCACAAGCATGTCAACTGCTTCTTTCCCTACCTTCTCCCTCGGCTCGAAAGCAACCCGCTCACCAATCTGACGCAGCTCCCTATCCCTCGTCGAGTACAGTAGTCTGCTCCTCCTTCCCCCGCTGCCCCCCGCAGTGTCAGTCAGAACAGACAACTTTTGAAGGATATTCGCGTCTATATCATTCACCACCCACACATCATCAATGATGAACAGACACACATAACTACAAAACCACGCTTGTACCTTCGCTAAAATCCTTTCAAACTCGCTCTGCTCTCGCATTTCTCCAGCCGTCTGCTTGCCACCGGACGCTTCCACAATCAGACACAGTTCTTCAATCAGCCGTCCCACGTTTCCGTCTTTTCCCAGCGACATGAAGTACACTCCTCCCGAAAACTCCGCCTTAATCTCAACGTCGTGCGCGATCGCTCGTAGAGCACATGTCTTCCCGACTCCGCCCTGTCCCACTGCTGTCGCACCCACTTGCTCGTTCCTATCTCTCCGTAGCACAGCCGCTTTTAGAAGCGACTCACACGTGTTCGGGAATCCATCGCTCCCGTGAAAATCAAGCTTCACACATATCGACGCAGGATTACGTTCGGCTCTTATTGACGCCCTGAACACATCACTCCTTCCTCCCCTGATCGACTCGACGGCCGCGCTTACTTGTTGAACACCATCGTGAAGGTGGTCCGCTTCTTGCTCGACTGCCGCGCGAGTATCGATGCTCGTGCTGGGTCGTCGAATACGATCGTGAAGGCGATCGTCTTCTTGCTCCTCACTTTTCTTTTTCACCCACAGAAACACTCGCTCCACAAGATGTGCCCTTGCAAGAGGGCCGAATTCATCTCCCGGCAGGTTTGTTGCCCTGTCGTGATTTTCAATCCCAGTGATACCTGCCAGCTCTTGTAGCTCTCTCTTCACCGTATCCGTGCTCGCTTCGCGCTGTCGTTCCAAGCTAAAAAACTTCTCAGCTTCAAAAATATTATTTCCTTCATCATCCCGGTACCGATCGGGCTCCAACTCGGGCTCCAACTCTCTGCATTCCCGAATACTTAATCTGTAAAACACCGGAATCAGTGTCGGTGGCCGCATCTCACTCCCTATCGCCTCTCTCCGTCGGCGTAGGAAGCAACGCAGTTCCCTCATCGTCCACTTTCGAGCCGCAAACTCGGGAGAAAGTATGAAAACACCGACCTTCGCAGACTCCATAGCCTTCGTCATTTCATCCCCTCCGCAGTCTCCGGGCTCCATCGAGGTTTTGTCGAGGAAGCAATTTAAACCTTGAGCTTGCAATTTCTCGGAAAGAGGACGTGCGATGTGTAGCTTGTCCGGGCCAGCATGGCTTATGAACACATCGGGAGACTGTAACTCTCGCCGTTTTTTACTTGGTCCCGTCTCTTGCCGGAAGCTTTCCTGCATTTTTATGTGAATAGCTAAAGACAAGTTGGTGAGGTGCGGAGTGTGTTAGGAGTGTGTTAGGAGTGTGTTGTGCGTGAGAACGGCACCGGCTGTTTGAAAAACAGGGACGCGAAGGTTGAAGGCCACGTTCAGCGCGGCACTCCTGTCGTTGTCGACGAAAGCGGAAACAGTGGCGAAGGTCGTGTGGGTCAGTAGGGTGAGCTGATGTGCTTTCGCTTGTTCTTTCGTGAATGAATGTTCGGGTCGTGTGGGTCAGTAGGGTGAGCTGACGTGCTTTCGCTTGTTATTTCGTGAATGAATGTTCGTGTGATTCCAGCGAGGGAAGACGCACTCATCCTAAAACATGAAAAGAATCATGAAACATTGATTTACAGAGAGTACCTCCTCAATAGTGCAGTTATGAGTAGTGCAAACCGTTAATAGTGCAGGTCAAAACCGCTTGTCAAGACTTTCGACACGTGTATGCATCTCAGAAAGGCAAAGCGTGCATTGTTGTGTGCGTGCAAGTCTTGAGTAGTGCAATGCGCCAATAGTGCAGTATTCCACCGCTTGGCACAGTACTGCACTATTGAGCGGTATGGACTGTATGTACCAACAGGGTGCCCTAATTATGACACAAACAGCGCGCGTGACGCAGCGTGCGGTTTCTAAAATGCGGATAAATCAACCAATTTGCTGCTTGTTTCTCTAGCTGTGCTTGCCAAGATAGGCATATCATAGGGCCTTTGGCCATGAGGTGGCGAAAGCCATTTCGTCCAATAAGAACGCTCCGGACCGCCGCCGTCCATACTTGGACGGCTAGCATTGGGCGACGAATGTAGTCGGACCAAAAGGGAGAATTTTGTATGCGCACCATCGTAGATTTAACTATTAATTAGTAATCTACACTCGACGGCGGCGCGGTATCGCGCCCACCAGTCTCGGACTGGATGACATAAAGTTGTGTGACCGGGGGCAGCTCGCCCCCTCACACAGGAGAGGAACCAACTCTCGATCACGTTTATTGCTCACCTCGTTCAGTGCTGTGTGTGACGCCAAGTGTCACACCAAACAGACTTGGAGGAACGCATAACCTGGTTGCGTAGAGAGGTTTCCAACATGGTGTCGATCGTTCGACATGGTTATGAGGAAAGCCCACAAACGGCGAGGAGGGGGGGTGGCCTATCTTTAATTTCGCGCACTGTACGCAATTCACTGTCAAGCGGGCACGTACCGTAGTACGTGCCCGCTTGACAGTGAATTTTGGAATGATTTCCTACATTCTTCAAAGGAGAGGGCGGCTGTGCGGATTGTTGCTGCGGTGTTGGCACATCGTGAGTTGAGTAAGGCTGCACTCGCGAGGCCCAAACAATGACTTTTACGCCAGCAGTGGGAGCTCCAAGGAATTCCAGGGAGGCGTATGATACAGTGCTGTACTCCAGGGGCTTGTCAATCAGTATTACAGTATTGTAACGACAGCCGTGGAACGGTACGGGAACAGTACCCTCGCGGGGGGTAATTTACGTATCCCACCTGAACGTTCCCCCAAAGTCGAGTCATGTGCCGAGTGGGCAGCTAGTGTCGGGAGACCGACCGAAAGGGGCGGTCCGGAGGGGATTTTAGTGAAGGTTAAAAGGGTGGTAAATAGGGTTACCTTAAAGGGAGGGGAAAAGCGGCAGGCTATTGTCTCAGAAACGCTACAGAGGGTGAGCACGGTCAATGGACGGGGTTGTCGGGTTGATGGTTTAGGTGATCGAATGTGCTGAGGTCGAAGACGAGTAGCGTCTTCGACCTGGCGTTATAGTCCTATTGACTCTACACTAGTTTCGCGATAAAAGGAACGAGTTGGGAGAAGGAGTCCGGTTCTTTTAGTGGTATCACAGCCCAGATTTGTAATTTGTACGGCACCCGCCGCCGCGGGTGCCTTACAGGCGGACGGACTACACGTGTGCATTACACGCGCACGCGCACGCTCACACGGGCGTTACAGGCGGACGCCTACACGTGTGCCTTACAGACGGACGGACTACACGTGGGCATTACAGGCCGATGGACTACACGGGTGCCTTACAGGCGGAAGATCTACTGTATACGTTACAGCCCGGAGGTTGTATATGATAAGGTACAGTAGTAATGGCACAGTACAGTGCATTACAGAATAGAGTACAGTAGTACAGTAGGACGGACAATGTCCAAGACCCCGCGACCTCGCTTATTTAAGCGACGGCGCCGGGCAATGACAGTAAACAGTCAAGGATCTTTTGGGAACGGATTTCCTTCGACGGTGCGACACCGCGGGTCAAGACAAGCCTCTGACTTAGGCGACATTATCTGCATCTGTCTTGCGACGTTTCCCTGGCTTCTATTGCCTTTACTTTACCTTTTCCATTCTTCCGTCTTTGCGACTACGCGGGTTAAGACTAGCCTCTAACCTCGGCGTGTTACTGTCGCTCGACGTTCCAATTGTTTTCCTTTTTACTCTGTCGTTGCGACCACGCGGGCTAAGACTGGCCTCTAGCCTGGGCGTATTACTGTCGCACGACCTATTTCTCTCTCCCTGCATTGTGACGATTGTCAAGTCGCGGGCTACGACAAGCCTCTGGCCTTGGCGGCACTATTGACATCTGTCCCGCTCGTTCCCTCTAGGAGTTTCCGCTACTCGGCGCTCCGCCCGTGTCTGACACTAGTCTTTAGGCTCGGGTTCACCCCTGTTTTGTGTGTTCTTACACCACCCCTTCCAGTGCTGGTCCCATTCCGGGTCCGCACTTCGACAAGTACGTCGTGCTTTTACAGTCGGCCAACGTACTCCCCCTTTTCTCTACCACAGTCCCGATCTACCGCGGGACACCCCCTATTGGTTGTTACCTCTTCCTCGAGCTAGCTCATAGCTGGCGACCGCCACTATACTACAGTGGTCTCCCGACCTAGAAGAGGCTGTTAACCAACTGCAATTACTTTCGCTGACAAGAAGACATGGATCCGTCAAACAAGAGGAGAATGGATTTGGCACGCCGCCGTGTTGCCAATTCCCGCTCGATGGACTCCTTAAGAGCTCAAGACACTTCGCCGATACGGCAACAACCTGCTTTTACAGTTGCCATGGTCGCAGAGACCAAGGACTCACCGAACAAACTTGGCATTGGAGCAAGCGCAGGAGCTTCAGCCCAAATCACGGCCCCTACATCTCCGCCAGATGGGCCACAAGATGAGACCGACCTCGCAAAAAGTATTGGTTCGTCAGAGGACTTTTGGCAGCAGATAAAAGAGTTCATTTCTGAACAGATCGACTCGAAGCTACAAATTGCCATTCCGGCTATTCGTCAAGAGACCGAGACACGAATTACAGCCCAAGCATATGGCATCTACGATGACACAGTGTCTTTGCAGAACCACGAGGCACTGGTGGCCCGTGTGCAAGCGTCAGAAAGACAAATCAAGGTTTTACAAGACAAACTGGATTTTTCCAAACGATCAATTGACCCTAGAAGAGATCCATACGAACCCCCTGTACAACGATCTCATCAACAGAGAGGTTCTTCGTACCCAGATCAAGATGACAGCGATGGATCCGTATCATCCCTGGAAATCACTACAGGAGTTCGTGACTCAGCAAGCCGCCGTGCGACGTACAAGAGACGCCTTCAGCAGAACATCAAGAGTCTGGATGACGAGGATGCCGATGGAGATCGTTTTGTGGTCCGATCCGGACGACCTCGAAGAGGGCCGAAGATGGCGGGCCTGAAAGAGCTTCAACCGAGCGACCCTCGCTTTACAAATGTGTTATCTTATCGTCGTTATCGACTGCTAAATACCGATCCATCTCGTGGATTGGAAGTCTCAAAGGAGACAGGGCTCTATTCAAGGCGTCTCGCCCACACCAT